GTGGCAACTGGAACCAAGAAAGGAAACAGGAAGAAAGTCAGCAGAAACTTCCTTGGTAGTAGATAGTCCAATCCTAATATGCATTCATCTTCAATGTCAGCCAAGTATACTTTCTGTCTGTCCTCTATGCCCATGAGCTCAATAGTTACCCACACTGGTCCCCATATCCTTGTAGAATGTCCTGTCACACCATAAAGCTTCTGTATGGCTTCTGGTACTCCTTCATGATCTAACACCTTGATGCTCACAAGGGTTTGCTGAGACGCAGAGTCTATGACAAAGTTGCATCTTTGGCCATCCAGCTTTCCTGTCACATAGACACCGTGTCTGCTTGGCATTTTACACCTAGCTGTTGGGATTTTCGTGATGGGGGTTGGTGGGCGTCGCTCAACACCAACCACAACTGGTCACCTTAAGGCCGACTTGTTGGTAATATTCATCCTACACTGGCTCCTCAGATGTCCTTGCTCCCCACAGTTCCAACAGCCTTTCTGGGTAGCAGCCTTTCCTGCTGTATCATTTCCCCTGTGCTGAAGTTGCCAGCATTAAGCTCTCTTGTGCCCAGGTTTGTTACAGTGCCAGCAAAGTCCCTCAAACTTCTCTGAAAGCTGTCCTTTTCTGGCCTTGAATCCAGATGACTGTGCCAACCTCGGTACCTCTGTGCTGGACTTAACGTAGGATTCAAATTCGAGTGCTCTGGCCATTGCATCCTGCATAGTAGAGGGGTGTGCTTGCTTCACTTGTATCTTAAGGTATGGACTGTCCAAGGCATCTACAATCTGATCCCTCAGCAACAACTTGAGGAGATCGGGTGGTGCAGTTGGGTAGGCCTTGTGTGCCATGCTCTCCAAGTCCTGTGCCAGCTCTTGTAGGCTCTCCCCTTTCCCACGGACTGTCGTCCTGAACCTGGCCCTGTAGACTTCTGACTGGTTTTGGGTTCCGTACTTGAGTTCCAGAGCCTCTACCAGTGCTCTGTAGTTGTGTCTGTCGGCTGCTGTCAATGTCCAAGTATTTCCAGTGGTTGTCCCTTCAAGCTCGTTGCCAGATATACAGCTTTCTGTTCCTCTGTCCATCCATTCATCTCTGCCAGTAGCTCAAAGTGTGCTCTATATGCTTCCCACGGTGCCTTCCCATCGAATTCCTGTGGCTTCCTTCACACTGGATCACTCCTATTCATATCTGGGATGTGACTTCTAACGGGACTGAATATGTCTGTATTAGGGTTTAGCTGCGAGCTCTGTAAGGGGTTTGCCATTATCTGGGGCTGATTAAGTCGATGGTCAATGTATTCTCCTTGTGTAATACACAACAAATCGTTCTTTAACGTATGTAATTCGCTTTTAAATTTACTGATGTTTTCCATTTGTACCTCTTGCCATTGTTGTTGATTTTCCTGTAGTAGGTAATTGATTTTGATAAAATGACGTTTGGAAATAACAAAGGCCAAGTTCCGGTAACTGTTAAAAGAGAGGTTGAACAAATTAGGTGCCATCAAGCTGAAGTCAAGCCGACTGAAAGAGTTGATGATGGTGAAGTGAAACCAAATATAGATATCAAAGCAGAACAGGAAAAAGACCAAGATTTGAAGCCGATGATTGATTTCCTAAAAACAAGTGTTTTGCGCCCTGCTTGGGAGAAGGTGTCTAGTCTAAGCCCTGTGACAAAGAACTATTGGACACAATGGGACCAGTTAAAGCTTGAAGATGGTATTTTTCTCCGGAGATGGGAACTACAGATGGGAAATTGACGACTTGGCAAACGGTTATACTGAGGAAGTTACGGGAAGTTGTGCTGCATCAATCCCATGATAATTTAACAGGAGGAAATCTCGGAATCAAGAAGACATTGAGTCACATACGACAAAGATCTTACTGGATAGGTATGAGGCGAGATGTGGAAGAATGGTGCAGGACATGCAGTACATGTAGTGCAAAAAGGGGACCCAAGCATATGGGACACCCACCTTATGAAGAGTTGCCTGAGAATGTGTCAGAGTTTGTGGAAGTGTTATCGGAAAGGATGGATGATATTCACCATCAAAGTTCAAAGTTGAAAACGTCTGCTGATTCGATGAAGCTATATTATGATAAGAGATCTACTGAAGTCAGCTTTGTACCAGGAGACAAGGTATGGTTGAATAATCCCAGGAAGACCAAAGGGAAGTCTCCTAAGTTGTCTTCTCCATGGGAAGGCCCATATGACATAGTGGACCGTCTCTCAGACGTGACTTTCTGGGTAAAATGTGGTCGGCGAGGTAAGCCAAAAGTGGTGCATGCCAACAGGCTTTGGCGCTATCACGGTCCAGGACATTTCAGTTGGGACGAAGTGGACAACAGAACAAATGACGCTGCTGAAGACGTGCCACCTGAAGAAGCCACCGTCGAAGAAGAAACTCTACTCAGTTTTGAGAAGGGAAACAGTGAAGCTCTTGATAAAGTTACTACCACTGATGTGACTGTTACTGACGATAGGACATTTCCTGATGATGCAGATGAACCCCACGTGAAGCAGAAGCCAACGAGACGGAGACCAGTACGGAAGAAGATACATCCCATAAAATTAAGAGACTTTGTTGAATTGTAATTTTGTGATTGTAATTCTGTACATTTAATTAAGTTATTGTTAATTGTTGTTGGTTTATTGTATGTGGCTATTGTTTGAAACGAACAATACCAAGGAGGGGGCAGTGTTGCGTCAGCGAGGTCACGTCACCTATTTTCTAGAAATATTCTGTTCATTAGTGAGTGCCCTAGCATTTACTAGATATATGTTAGTCTGGTATATATATATATATATATAAGATGCTCATAACGTGACGGGACAGTGTGTGTAGGTAGTGAGTAATTGAACTGCAGTCAGAAAGTATTGTTGAAGTTCGTTGTTATAGCGTTTGTTATAGAGCGACTGTTGAAAATAAGTATATCGTAAAGTTGTATTCAAAAAGAATAAACCAGTTTTATTAAGAAAGGACTTGTGTCGCTAAAGTTTCATGGGAACGAAGTTACGGAAAATCAACTAACGAACGGAGACGTAACAATATGTTATTACATTTGTTGTTATATACATTTCTACAACATGATGCACTTTGTATCTCGCATTTTTACCATTCAGAATTGAATTTTCTTTTGTGTATTTAGCCTTTTATATTTTTGATACATGAAGACGTAAAAGTTTTTACCAAATTAATGAAACAAAATGATAAATATTTATTGAAAATTTTAAAATTTATGAACAAATATAATAGGTCTGTATCTTATATTGACAGAAGGAGAAGTCAATCTTAAACATGTACTGTAAAAGCTGAGATTCATGATTATCTATGGAATAGTTTTTATTATGAAATGTTAATGTGATTTAATGTTGTAATTTTTTTTTTTTGCAGAAACCTGTTTCCTGATTTATATTTAGGATTACAGCAACTGGTCAATGTTTTAAATGATGAAGAAACTGAGATACTGGTTCCTTTCAGTATGTAATAAAATTATATTTGTTTTGAATAAGCAAAATTATCTTTGTTATGTTTTGTAAGGTTTTTGCCATTAGAATTGATTTATTAGTTTGTGACCATAGTTATTTTGTTTTCTAATTCTTTTTAAATGTCCTAGTAAAGATTTAATGGCAGATTTGAAAGTATTTGAACATATATATATATATTTCACATTGACAGAAACTGAATAACCCAAGCACTTTTGGAATGTAAACTTTCATTCATTAGTGCAGTTTTGCAAAAGAAAAAATAACATATGAAAATGCATATGTTATTAGGTTTAATTCTGTGAATTTCCAAATACAGTAAATGGATAGATATTTAGAAAAACAGGTAGAATATGCATCACACGTAAGTAATTTTGCTCTTTCTTTTTCAGTCAATAGTGTGTTCAAGTTGCATACAGATACAATATTTCTGATGTTTGATTTCTGTCATGCATCACTGCATTTGTTAGAAGACTGACTGTTAAATATTTTATGTGTTTTGTTTTTTCATATGCACTTATTTGTCACTTTTCTCCCTAATAATTAGTTACAAAATAACAATAACAATAAATGTATTTCATTTGAGGCGTTAATATCAATTTTTACTATGAATAAAATCCATGTACAACATCAAACATCTTTTACATCTTCCTTCATAAACTTTTCAGAGCTTCATGTTTTTCTCTTGTCTCCAGTAGAATCATGCATTGCATTGAATTGTTTTCTCAGCTTTGTGTTGTGACTATTCATTTGTCATGCATTTTAGTGTTTTTTTAATGCCTTTTGATATAAGCCACCATTTTTGCAGTTATTATAATCTTTCGGGAATATTCAAACCTACATTTTAAACTACATATCCACTTATATTTACAGTTTTTGTAACCAGTTTTTGTGTCTTTTAGTCTTTGAACCATATAAAAGTTTTTAAAAACATTAAATCTTTAAGATTTATAGGATTATTTTATGTCTTAAAATTCGTGAATTATAGAGATGTGAAGTCAGGATCCTTAACTGTCACTAAAAAGAGTTCCAAATGATTTTCAAAAAGTTTAAAATACCATTGTGATTTCTGTAAAGGCTTACCATACCTCTAATCTTTCAAGAAAGGATATTTCAATGCATATATTCTAGTAAAATATATTGTTTTTTTCTTATAATGGGTTAAAGATATACTATATACATTCCATCACGCCTATGTATTTTTGGTTAATTCATTAAACAAGTAAACTAAAGCTTAGTTCAGAAAAGGGTATATAGTTTTTGTTTTGTTTTTATAGTTCAAGAAGAAGCGTATTCTCATTTTGAAATCTTTTAACTCGTTTTCTGCATATTAATCTGAATAATGTTATGATGACTTTTTATTGCACTTTTCAAGGCCTTCATTAAGTAAAACATAAACAATATATTTTATGTGTAGCCAATAAGAATCATGTTAGCATATATTATAACCATTTCATAATTTTCTCCAAAGACTACTAGAAGTTGCTTAAAGTTGGAGTACATCTAGTTCTCCAAAATATTACTAGTCCATCAGAGGACGTCTTTTTGTAACTAGAATTATTATTATTACATCAGAGAACATCTCTTTATAACTAGGATGACTAGTGTAATTTTCCAAATATAATATGCTCCCAAATGTAATATCCACTACTTTCATGAACAAAGAATCAAATTTGCCTTATTACCATAAATAATACACACCTGGACTTTTGCAATTCTTTGATCAAAGTAATCATTTTAATGACAAGGATGTTAAAGTGTTGTATAATCTGTAATTGCTTGTTTATTGTAGTGCTTGCTATGTTTGCATATAAACATTCTCAAAAACCAACTTACAACCAGTGTTCATTAGTCATGATCGTCTACAACAGCTTTGCTACAGTGTGATATGTGTAGTTTGTTCTGAGACATTTCGTCCCTGCACATGCATAAAAATGGCAGGTTTGATTTTATAAGACTGATTTAAGAATACATCATGAAATCAAAGCCTAACACAACAAAGCTGCATTGGCTCTTGATAGTCAAATACTAACACTTAGTTCAGTGCTTAAAGAGAACAGGGCAATTTTGATTTTGTAAGGTTGATTTAAGAATATACCTAACAACTCGTAACAGAACTCCTCTTAACTCTCTCGCTACAGACTCGGTCAGTTCAACAGACCACATAAACCCCAAGTTGATCTTCAGAGTTTCCATACTATAACTTTTAATATGTTTTGTTTATCTTCACAAAAGTTTTCAAGCTTTTAGTAAACATTACATGTCTTTTGTAGACAAAAAGTCAAAATTTTTAATTCAACATCTTAATTGAAAATTTTTCCTTTAATATATGGCAGTGGTACTGTTTATAGTGACGAGATGTTAGACAAGATTTGCCAACTATTCAAGAACAGTGATTCAGACTCAGAATTTGAAGGTTTTACTGAAAGTGATTTGTAGTTTTGGATATCAAATGTAATGTAACAATAACTAACTTTGTATTTCCAAACATTTCTAAGTGTGCATTTAAAAAACCCTTAAGAATCACAGGACTTAGCTTTTTGATCATTTTATTTCAAAAATCATGTTTAAAAAATACTGAAAATGAATGAAGACAGGAGACAATTGTCATTTATGTCTTAGAAACAGAAAGAATTAATAAGACATTCCATCAAAATGTGACATTTCTAGTAAATGTGCATTATCATTCACAAAGATGATCTAGACTGGCTGTAAAAAACATTGAGATTCACCATATACACACACCCAAACTTCTAGATAAATCTTTAGTGAAAAAAATTAATATTATATTTGGAAAATTAGTGTATTACATCAGAGAACATCTCTTTGTGACTAGAATTACTATTACATCAGAAAATATCTCACTGTAAACTAGAATTACTATTATATGAGAAAAAATGTTTGTAATTAGAATTATTATTATTATGTCAGAGAAAATCTTTTTGTAATTAGAATTACTATTCTATCAGTGAACATCTCTTTGTAACTGAAATTTGCAATTTGGTTTGCTATGTATCTATGCAATATCTGAAGAAAAATTTAATTTATAATATACTGTATTATTCTACTAATTAATTTCTTGTACATAAGTACATTCATCTTGAGATAACCCAGTAAAACTTTTTCATGGTAAACAAATTAACCCAAAAGGAGAAAAAATACTTTTCAAATGCATTTCTTGTATTATTTATGTTTTTACTGCATGAAAGTGTGACACTTTAATAGCTGAATCTAATGGATTTTTATACTGTATTTTTAAGTGCTAAAATAAACCACTTCTATTGTAGATCATTTTTGCATTGTTCCACAGTTTTGTTGGCAATGTGTGGCATTTTTTAGATTATGATAAGTTGTCCTGCAATAAATGAATTGAAATGTTAAACTTTTATACTTATAGATCATCAAGAAGCATTTCCTTACTAGCCTGTAAAGTGCCAGTAAAGAAAGATTTGTAGAAAATTATTGTCACAATTATTGTAGTGTCACAAAAACCACAGATTTATTTTAATAGTGTATGAACTTATTGGTTAATAAATGTATGAGTAATAAAATTAGAATATAGTGTATTACTACATTTACAAACAGAAAATGAAAACAAATATTAACCACTTACAAATTTTGCATTTTTTAATTGTTTGAAGTAAATGATTGAAAACTGAAAGAGTTTTTCATCTATACTTTATTATAATATTCTTCTGTTAATATCTATTAAAAAATACACTTGTCTCAGAAGAATAACAAATTAGGCATTATTTGTGAACATTGTATGAATGATATTTTAGTATATAACAAAGTAGTTTAATCTACGTATAACAATTTCAATAACTTATATATATCCTTCACTTATATTGAAAATAGCATCGTAATAAATAAGGATCTATTGCTTTCAGTGGAAATGTATTATTTGGGCTAAAACAATTAGTACAGTAATGAATTCAAAACTGTAAAATAGAAAAAGGTGAAACTCAAAATTATACATAGTATAGAATTTTGTCCTCCAAAAAAGGTATATTTTTGTTGTTCATGCAAAATTCAATCAGTCTGAAGAGTTGTGGGTGATATTGCATAAGTTGTTAGAAGTTTAAACAAGATTTCCAGATGGCTTTGAAAGTTTAGAAAAAAAAGGGAGAGTATCAGCATTATAATATAATGTAATTTCACATTTGAGCTGGAATTTAAAAACTGTTTACCAGGAGAGATTTCATGATTTCAGGAAAACTGAATTTACCTAGAAAACAAAATAGAAATATAATGCAGCAGGAGATTAACTGCTAAGCTAGTTCCATTAAGTTGTGGTTTTAATGTGCTAATCAGAAGTCTCTCTTTTGTATGGAATCTTTTCTTATTGCTTTCCTTTGGAAGAATCTGTAGTGGGCTATGATGCATTGCTAATATACATTCACTGACAACATAATTAGGTGTACTTGATTTGTTATTGGAAGCATCAAACTTGAATTTGTATGCTACTTTATCTGCATTCATTGCCAAGTGGTTGAACCAATATATCCACAAATGCACTAGGACATTTGAATTCATATGCTACAGTAGATGTTCTCAACAATGATGTATTTTATCTTTGAACCTGAAAAAATTTAACCTTTATTTAGATTTAAAAAGAATTAATATGTAAATAAACTCCATGAAAAGGCTGACTCAATTTATTTTTCTGGATTACTGACAGGGCTTGTCTACAAACATTTTCTCAGTTT